TTTTTTTTKATTTCATGCTTGATGACGTTTTTCATGTTTTAGTGTTACGCTCAAAGCGTGAAAAAGTACATGACTTGCCAATTTGATTAGATAAAAAGCATGAAACGAAATATCTAAAGTGAGCTGCAAGGGCAAGGTTAAAAGGTAACATTGGAAGGAATACTATTTAGGATCTCATAATGTGACTGTATAACATTGTTTTAAATTCCAATTCCAAACCTTATCCGTTCTGGATAAACTAACCTTGATCAAGTATGATGTGTTTTGTCATTAGTTGACTTGAGATTTCGGTTGATGCTTAATTTTCTAGAATTTTTTCTCTCAAAAACATTTTACTTATCACTATTTATTCAGGGATTGATCGAGGATCTTTCCCATTAGGTTAAAACACCGAGTACAGGTTAATAACATGATTTCCAGTTCATTTTTAAAAAAAGGTCAAGAAAAAGGTAAGCTTACAGAATAGTTTTCGAAAGAGAAGTGTAACGACTGGCGCGATGGTACCATTTAAACTATTGACCATGAGGCAATAGGCTACTAAGCAAACCATTTTTTRGACATGTAATACCATTTTTCACAGAAAATATTATCTAAATCAGGCGKTCCATAATTTCTCGCTGCTAAGCACTTCTATTCTCTTGTTAAGCACCGCTATACGCTTCTTTGGCTTTACCATATACAGCTATTTCAAAAAACGTTGTTGTCAGGGAGAACGGCGAACGGCGATTGCACGACCGAAAGGGACTATGGTTACACTGTTTTGATAATAAAATTTCACCTATTGTATTCACCTTACATAGAAATGGAGACTAAATGGAGCCAGACCATCTTACAATACAAATCAGTTGTTATTTCATTTCACCAAGCAAAACCCATGGCTACTTTCGGTCGTGCAATCGCCGTTCGACCATTGACATTCGCCATTTTATCCGAAAACCTTTTTTTGAAATTGAAAATAGCTATATATGGAATACGCACAACAGTGTATATATCAGTTTAATTGTTAGTATAATATCGCCTAGTCCAAGTGATTCGCCATCGCTTTTGCAGCCAATCTATCCGTCATTGGTGAGTTTTCCTTTCCAAGTTTGCGCTGAGCTAGAAGTCGCCTTAAAAAGAATAAAGAAAATATTCTATAAACAAATGTTAAGAAAACATTAAACGACCTTTTAGGGGCTATCATAAAAGAATGAGGACCACACCTCGCGGTATGCTTTATTGTTCAAAATGGAGTCACTGAACATTGCCTATTAGGACTTACACATTTGCATACGGCACAGATCATTTATAATATTTATAATATATCCGTCATCAGAGAACTTTCGCGGGAATTTGACTTTGCCAACTCGAAAGTGCAAATAATAATAAAAAGAAACGTTCTCTTGGCCAAATGTGCCAATTGTTTTGAGAGTTATTTTATTTTCGATGTTTTCGATGTTTTTTTTAAATTACTGTTCAGCAAAAATGGGGAGCCGCGGCCCCTTCTCTCCCCGTAAATCTGTTCCTGATTATCATCATCATCATCATCATCATCATAATCACTATCATTTTTTATTATTTTTATCGTTGAGAGTTTGATTGCCAAAAAGAGAACCTGTGCTGAGAAAAATGACCTCCTTTTCTAAAAGCTAAACCAAATATTGGAACCACCTTTGTGATTGATCTATTAATCAAGCAATAGAAAAATCAATCGATCAACCAAATGGTCAAAGTATCTCAACAATCCTATTTTTCATAGTCTAACGAATAGCTATCAATCTATCAACCAGTCAAGCGATTATGCTAAAGCCATAGATATATATAGTTTAAATTACCTTGCAAGTTTTTGATGATCTTTACGAGGAGACATCATAGCGGCATTAATAAAAAACAATCTGAAGACATCTTGCTGAAAAAGGAAATTATGTTAATGACAATTTTCTACTCTTTCTATTAATATGTAACTACTTCTAAACTCGTCAACTCTTCTTTTTCGACTCGGATTGCGATCCGATGACGCTGGGTTCTCTCTCGATTGGGACAGCTRTGGCTAGAATGGCCTTTTCCCAAGATGTTAGTTCTGTAGAACCAATGCGAGGCATTGGCTAGGTCACAACACTTTCTCATGTTTTCAAGATGTTTTCTCATGTTTTCAAGATGTAGAAAAATGCTGTATAAGAAATAAGTTACGCTTTGATAATTAYATTTTGGCTGCAAAGTGTTTTACTACAAACTAAAATGGATTCATTTCGAGTCTCTTTCTGTCGAATGCTGTTTAGGCACTGCATCCACAGTTTTCATAACGAATCATCTTTTGATGTTTTATGAAAAGTTCTCTTGGCTCCTTCCTCCTGAATAGGCATGACAAAGTCGAATACAACTTTTCCTTTTGATTTTTTGATCAGTAATTTTCTTTATCCATTATGAACACGTTACGACCTAGCCAAAGCCTCGCTTAGGTTCTGCAGAATCAACATCTTKGGAAAAGAGCATTGTACAACGCCAACTAACAAACTGAAACTAACCTGCGCATTACTTCCTCCAAGCTTGTAAAGTTCATAACGAAGTGGGTTTAACAGCTCAACTGCTTCATCAAACTGACCCTAAGAATTCAAGAAAATATATTAACTATTAGATTTACATGTGAAATATTCAGCGTTTCGCAACAAAGCATCATGGGAGTTGTAGCTGCCGGCACAATTATATTAATTTCAATTTATTTTTGCATACATAGAACAAAACGGAGTACTATTTTAGCGTAAAGAAATAAAGGAAAGTTATAGTGCTAGGAAGGAGCTTATTTCGGGAGAAAGACCCTTGGAAATAAATTCGGAAAAATTATTTTCCGACCTCGCTGGGATTCGAACCTACGACCCTCGGATTTGTACTAGCGATGCTCTACCAGCTGAGCTACAAGGGCAGACCAGGAGCAGTTAGGGTCAAATAGATGAAAGCTTGCGATAATTAGAACGTCTCATTTCTATCATGCTCGATTTCAGTGTATTTTACTAATGACGTCATTCATTCATTCATTACATTCATATCTTGACTATTTTAGCGGATATGAAAATGTACGAGTGCTGCAACTCACATCATGCTGTCGTGCAAAAAGACGTCRTTGTGTATTGCTAAAGAGATCGACGCATAACTTTCAAATCTTTTGCAATTTCCCGCATATTTTATACAATCAGGGGCGGATCCGGGGGAGGGGCACGGGCCCCCACAAATATTTGTGAGCTTCTCGTAGTTAACAAACTCGTTCGAGTCCCGTATTCCTTATTCCCAAAAGGAYCGGAGTGATATGGAACTGGAGACCAGTTACAGATAAAATCGTTGCATTGTGACTTCTTCGTTTCGAAGTTTGTTTTGATTTTGTTCTTTACTTCGATCAAAGGGACGGAGCTTTTCGTAAGCTCGTTCAGTCAAATGCTGATTTGCAGCAAGCTCCGCCCCAAACCCGCAGAAAAAAACCTAAATTCTAACGATTTCTTTTGAACATTGAAGTTCATTCTGCTGTAACATAGTCGATTCACATGTACACCTATATATCCGTTTACGTTGTAATCTTCTAACCTTATCAGCCAAGACAAATGCCTCACACAATGCTATACCAATCTCACGGGTGACTTTGGCGTTCGTACCTGAACAATCCCTAAGTGGACACGATATACATATAGTGAATAAATGATATGCTACATCGCCATTACTATTATATTACTACTAGGAAATGCTAGTAAGGACAGTGAAGCAACAGTATAACAACGATGAACATATCTATATATGGCGATTTCAAACTGCTTGTCGAGGGGAGGTTGCATGGTGGACAAAACCTCGTCCCCAAGCCCTTATCTCTTCATTTGGGGTCATTTAAAGGAATAAGGGCCTGGGAAAGAAGTTATTATTGACATTCACAGAAACTGTAATTTGTACATTCGTTATTTGCATCCACATCATCCTTTGAAATGCCTTACGATTATGATAGTAACTTCAAACCTGTCGAAGTTGCGATGCAACGGCTTTTGGTGTGAGTCAATAACAATCGTCTATTCYCAAACTTCTAGTACAAGCGGGTTTAGTCTCGAATCAATGTGTGATCTGATTGTTCTTCTATTGTTTTTATCTTAAGAACAAGGGTATTCCTGCATGCTCTGTAATATTAAATATAGTGTGCATGCAATGTGCATGAGACGCCATTTTGTGCAKCAAAGTACGATTGTAGTTGTAATCGTTACACTTATTATAGACCCTAAAATATTTCCTTAAAAGTCTTTTTTACTTTTTCTTGGTAGAAGCGGCAAAACTACTTTCGTATGTTGACTGAGAAAAAGTAGAAACATTTCAGAAGGACTGCTTTAGCGATCAAGAAAAGTACGACGACTACAACTACCACCATGCTTGCTGCACACAATGACCTCACATTGCTAATTGCAAATCTGATACACAGTCCTGACAGTAGGTATAACAGAAGTACTGTGGTCAGTAGTCAGTAGGGCTCCTCAGTCTATTAGTACAAATCCTTCCAAAAGATATCAAGAACGGCAAAAATTTGACCCTTCTCAACCATACTCCAGTACCCCTTCTAATTTCTGAGCAGTCCCTTACTTGACATAGTCTTTTAGCGACTGCATTAGCTTAAGCGTCAGATCCTCACGTTTTGCAGCCAAAGTACACATCATTAGATGGGCATCAACAAACATCTGCAATAAGAAGAGAACACTTCCAATATCTCCCTATAAAATCGCAGATTGAAGGGAGTTTTTCTCTGACAAAACATACCCAGACATGAGTGTCTGTTTGCTCTGAATAATGCTTAATAATTTCATCCCATCTGTCTCCAACATTTACACCTAGAATCGAAAGAAGAAAGAACTGTTGTGCGAWTTCCATGGTTGAACATATACACGGCGCTGATGTAGATATAGAAGAAATCATGCAATGTACAAATTATGTGGAAAGTGGAGAAGRACTTAGACAATTTTGACACTTTTTGCATTTGTTTTCTTCTCCTGTTTTGAACAATCCTGTTGGATTACACCTTACGAGAGGTGAAAGTCCACCAACATGAAAGCCTTCTATATGTACATCAAAGCCCTATATGTGCATACATAAATGGAAGTCTTGCCACGGATTCTACTTAACGAAAGGATTATGCTGGAATCGAGAACTATATGAAGCATTACATTTACAATTTGCTCTAATTTGGTGTTGTGTTCTTATTGTTATTCGCTGATTAAGTCTGTCTGCCTACTAAACTATWGGTCGGTCGACTGTACATGGCTCAATTGTCGAGCAAGCCGCAAACAAGCAGTATTCTTGAGGGGTTTTTTTTTTCATTGAAATGAGAGAAATTCCCGTGGAACATTTTCGTTTCTTTAGTTTTCTAATAGTATATAGCAGCCGATAAAAAATTGTATATCCAAATCTCTCTATTCTATGTTTTGTATGTCCATCTATCTCGCACTGCCTGAACCTACCCATTAATTCCAATCGATACAGCAAAGACGCTACGTTAGTTAATTGAAATAAATTGCAGGGCGTCATTGCTTTTCCAAWGTTTTGGTCGAACATCTCTAAAGCAGTTTCATACTCCCCCTGGAAAAGAAAATCACCACAAATTTAAGCATTGGGAGTTTCGGAGAACAATGCGTCCGCCATCTTGAAAAGTGAGAACCGAATCACTATATTGTGCCTTAGAACACATTTCGTAGTTGCTAAGTCAAGTGATCAATCATTATATCGTATCATTTAACTTGTCATTAACTTTTAATATCTTTTAGGAGTTATAATTTAGTGATTGAAGTCCCATTGAAGTCGGTTGGGCGTGTCCAAAAGGCCAACTTTGAAGCGCTATATCTCAAAGAATATTTATCCAATCGAAAAAATATTTTGGATTGTTAACCTACTATTTAAAGACAATCAAAATATCCAATAACCCTAGAAGGGTTTATAGGGACTTTAAGATGGCGGACGCATTGTTCTCCGAAATGATGATTTAGTACTCTGACCATGTACCGCCAGGAACTCTGTGCCCATTTTTATCAGCGAAAGATGGATGACAAAACGTGATCTCCCGGTCCGGGTAGCGAGCCCAGTCCTGCTGTAGACCCGAAGTCCATTGCATTTCAAACACATTGTCATAGTGCTGTGATGATGCGGCCGATCGCAATACATACTTTTTCGACATGGTAGAGCGACCAGTGCCAATAATTGTGACCAGTAAGCCCGCTCTCGTTCTGAAAAGAAAACAACGTAAGAAAAAGTCCTGAAAAAATAAATGGAGAACTTTAAACATACACAAACAACAATTTAAAACAAAACCAAACCAAAAACACAAAAAGGGGGCAGCCCAAGAAATAGAACGGACGGAAAAAAACAGAATGGTGCTCTAAAGAAGGCTGCTATTCCAAGAATTTCTCTTTAATAGATCTGAGAGACAGWGTCACGTGACGCACAACTTCAACTAGCAAACGAAATGAGGGTAATATTTTCCCGACTTTATTCAATACGCTTTTAAAAAAAAAACGGCTCATTTTTGCCCTTTCCTTTTCTTTCCTTTTTTTAAGAATTCATAAAATCACTAAACCCGGATTTTTCAACGGATCTAAACATCGAAATAAACACTAATTAACGGACTTACATCCCAGTCTTTAACAGTTTCACTCATAAATTTTATGCCCTCGTCTTGTCGGCCTGTTTCTTCAAATACATGTGCCCGTGCATGGGTTGCCCAGCAGTCGATTGGCATCAGTTCAAGGCCCTAACGACGAACAAAACTAATGAGAATAATAATTTGCTGTTTCATTCTTTTGAGATTTGATTGAAAAAAAAGATAAAATTTATTAGCAGCTGCCCTCATTGTACTTCCTTAACAGGATGTAAAACAAACACTGAACTGTTAAAGTACAACCAACCTGGCCGCTGTGTCATCATCTCAAAACTASTTTTAATTATTAATTTTCCTACATAAGGGACTACGCAACAATTGCCGGAAAGGGGGGGGACCGTAAAACCAGATTTCTCAAGCAGAAAATTAGTGAAAACCATCCCTCCGAAGCATAAGAAAATAGCTCTTACCCCCCCCCCTCCCCCTGCTATACTAGAAATAAGGTCGGACCCTAAATAAGGTCGTAACTCTATCCTTAACCCCCCCCCCCCCCCCCCCCCCCCCCCCACCACCACCACAACGTAACCTTAGTTATAAAACAAGCACAAGCGAGTCGAGTCAACTGTAGCAACGCACAATTCACTAAAGACGAACCCAGATGCAAGAGGTGGCTTACTCATCTGGACCTAAGTGTAAAGACAAAAACTTTCAGGAGCAGCTGACGGGGTTCTGTTCTGCTAGATAAGTACTGTTCTTCATATGAATTTGTTCCTGGGAAAGGTTTCAAGGTCCAAAAAAGGTTTATGTAACGTTTTTATGGTCAAAAACAACTTGATGTCACTTGTGCTTGTTATGTCTAATAAATCATCAATATGTTTTTCGGCTTCTACATCTTCAATTTATGTGATAAAATTGAAAAAATCAGTAGTTGAAAAAAATTCATATCTTGGTCAATTTCAATCCCACATCAGCGAGGTCTAGATTTTTATTAGTACGTTTAGTTTCATAATGGATTTTTCATAAAAAAGATAACCTAACAAGCTTTAGCTAGCAGATTAATAATGATCAGTGTTGTTGATATAAACCTTCTTAAAACTGAAGTAATATCAATATCATATAATKGTCAGTTAAAGTTKTTGTTGTCATTTTCTACAATTATGGTTGTTATTTACGTTGAATAAAGAAAACAATGAAAATGTTCAATAAAACTTAAGGCCCCCCTCTATGAATTAGGTAATTTTACTTTGAGCCCCCCTATCTTGGCATCAATTTTATGCAATGCCCCCCTGGTTTTACGTCCCCCCGGTAATTATTGCACAATCCCTAAGATCAATACTTAGTATACCGTACCTTTATAGCGCATTTTTCAGCATCTTCAAAACGGCTTGTTTCCCCCAAGGAAAAAGCTCGCATTCCATACAAATACCTACAGGCGCATATAGATAACACAGTATACAGCTATCTCAAAAAACGTTGTCTTCGCGAGAGCAAGGTTTTTTTAAATAGGTGTATACAGTCATGTTTACAATTAGACCACGATCGGGTTCTAGTGGACTACGAGTTGACAGTTCATGTGCCAGTGCTCGAGACCGTCTCGGTCGGCAATGTGCAGTCACCGCGCCTTTATGTTTAGCAAAGCATGATGGTAGTAGTAGTCCTCACACTTTTTTTACGTCCGCTAAAACAGTCGTCCTAACCCGGTTTTGCTTTTTCTAATTGAAAATGGACGTATTTGTGCTGTTTCTAAAAAGAAACTATAAAAACGGCTTTAAAAGAAGTTATTTTAGGTACTATGAAAAGTGCGACTGAGGACTACAACTACCATCATGCTTGGCTGCACAAAATGACGTCACTGCACATTGCCTATTATTTTAGTAAACTATCAACTTATAAGGCAAATTTGTGAAAAGACCATAAAGAACAAATTTACTCGACATCTTTTGATGTGACCGTGGACTATCATGAATAGATTATAGTTGAATAGCCAATTAGAATGCTGGACAAACTAATGCAACTATTACTTCGTTTAAATGGTGGGAACTAGCGGTAAACTAGTGTGATCTCCGTCGGTGTTTTCTAAAGAAACAGTTGTGCAAGAAGATAAATTTAACACCGTAAAAAAGTAGGTGGAATAACTTACTGACGTTTCTGACGTTAATCCTTCCTCTTTCCTCCGGCGAAAGGATTAACGTAAGAAACATCAGTAAGTTATTTCACCTACTTTTTTACGGTGTTAAATTTATCTTTTTACACAACTATTTCTTCGTTTACACAATACAGGAGGAACCGACGGGTTCTTGGAAAAGGGATTTTGAACTACATTGTTGACAATCTCACAAGCAAATGTGGCGCCCTTACTTTTGCTCCTGGCAAACGTTTTTAAGGTCAAAGACCTTATATTTTTTCAGTTATCAAATTTTTATTTTCCTGGCAAAAATTCATAGAAAGCATTCCTTGYCTGGAGAGCTCTTTTTTCCTGAATTTCTCGCTGGCAACCAGTTGTGACTTACTGACTTATTGGCTGGGACATAAGAAAAGGTATATTTCTGCCAGGAACCCGTCGGCTCTTCCTAATAATACACCACAGTATCTATTGTTCATTCATCCAATTTTTTTATCTTTTGAATTTCAATAGATGAAAAATTCGGATGACATATCCTTACGGTTGTAATGGTATTTCTGGTTTCCAAGATGGGAATACACCAGCGATGGCATCCCGAAGTTGCGGGTACATCCCGTGTAGTATATATGTTTCTTGAAGCAGCTTTAATGCGTAAATGTCAGTCGGATGTTCAGTTAAGATATTCTCCCAAATGTTACAAGCCTCAGCAGTGTTCCTACGGTGAAGTATTAAACAAAGCACTTATCAGACATTTTGATCTGGAATTAGGTGCAGTTGCGCATAGTCGATCCCTTTCCTCATAAAAGTTGCAAGGTGAAAAACGTGAGAGCACCAAACTCGATCAGTTTCAATATGYTGCGCCAAGTTGAGTGGTTTTATAGTATTTTTCAGCCTTTACGAAGGCAATGAAATACACTCATGGAAAAATCATGAAAAGGTATGGAAAATGAGGATTTTTTTTATTTTTGTGGCTAGTACCTCGTAAGAGGCTCAAGCCACTATGCTATCGTCCTCGAAAGTACGTGCCTGTAACGTGGTTAGTCTTCGGTCGAATTCGTTTCCTACCGGTGGCGGACCGACCTTATTTTTACTAGATTCTTACMACTAGTGGCTATTTTAACAGAACATTGACTGCCAATTAGAGTATCAACAATGAGATAATCCATTTTAAAAGTTGTGGAACATTAAGCGGAAGAGTTACAAGTTTCGATCTTTTACAGGACGGTATTAAATATACCCAACAAGTAATCTCAGATCCTTTACCTTGGGATGGTATACATACCCATAAAAGCACTCTTTATATGCCATGGCATGTTTCTTTTCATGTTCTGTAACTTTCCCCTTATCCACAAGYTGCATAATGAAGTTGTAATCYCTTTGTATTGCTGGATTAGCATCTAGGTCAACTTGGATTACTGGGATGCCAGATTTCATTATGTAGCCCATAACTTGTTAAACAAATGGAAGTGTTAGCATTATGTGATATTAAATATGTACAATTTACAGGAAAGTGAGTGAGTGAGTGAGTGGATACAACTTAAAAATGACATGATAATAAATACAGGATGTTAAATCATAGATATACAGTTCATTTTATAGTTGATTAAACAATCAAGTCCGGTCATGACAGAATTGGTATATTATATTATATAATTATTAGATCAGGGATCAGGGTTAGATTTTAGGATCAGAATTTTGGATTGGGAACAGAATCGCAACTGCAGGGATTTCAAACATTACAAGGGATCAATCAATTCTGTTGGATCAGTTATCAATTAAATTTGAAAATATATTTGGGAAAATGTCATGGCCAAAAATGGGATCAAAAGCAATTTGAAAAAAAAAAGAAAGAAAGAAAAAAGAAAGTGACATAATACGATGTCACAAGCTTGAGCATGAGCTGCTGAACAGATGCAGACCCACGATAATCAAAACTGCACTGRCCTGGGCTTTTAATTAGAATTTGCAATGAATAAAACTAACTGGGTAGCCAATATAAATATTGCTTACTAATAAAATTATTATTATTTATTATTTATGCTGACACTCATTAATTTTGAGACTTACCAAAATTAGGATCAGCCTGTATAATTCCTTGGATGGTCTTTTCCAAACCACCAAGGCTAGAGTTCTCATAATACTGAATCAMCTAAAATAGAAAAAAATGCCCCGATATTTATGAAATCAGTGTTAACCAGGATATGGATTGGATTCACTAAAGAGGAGGAGGGGGAGGGGAGGTTGAAAAGGGTAGTCCAAGAGGCTAGGAGGACATTAGTACATTAATACAGCACTGGTTGAAACACATTTTTTGATTGCTGACTATTATAATATATATTTTTTATATTAGTACTTTCTCAAGAAGTGGAAAATCATGCCAATATACCCTGCAAAATATACACAAACACAACTATTCTCTTCTCAATTTTGATATGCATAAGCCAAAGAAATGTAATATCCAGCAAGCGTAGCCACCCTAAAATCTCTGTTGCATACCTGCGAAACTGCAGCATCATATAGCTTTACTGCCTCATTACTGGGAGAGGAGAACACTATTCCCTCTTTCTTCCAAGCCTATAAAATATATGATTGTAATAATTAACAATTAGACCTCGAGGTCGAGTGGATTACGAGCTAATAGCACATGAGGCCGCTGATTGGTCAAGAGCCGTTGTCGATCGTAGGACAGACCGATGAAATGACAAATCGCTTGCGCACGGAGCCGTTGCACACCAGAAACGATTTTGTTTTGAAAGTTTTACTTTGTTTTCGGCTACACTCGCTACGCTCGTGGTTCCACTTGAGTTTTGATCATTTTCTGACGTCATTTTCATTGTCGATAAGCGTACAGACCATAGAAAAAGCGATTTCGATTTGTTAATTAGACCATTAGTAGAGTAGCCAATCACAGTGCAGTATGAGTGATAGACCATTAATATGTTTATACTAATGTGTGTTATTGCACAGGTAACCCAGGATAAGCATTTGTATAAGGGTATGTATAAGGGTATGTATGACTGAGCTAGTCCAGCCAAAAGCGATTTTAAATCTGAGCCCCTTTCTTATAAGCGCCGAGCTTGCAAGCCTTGGGAAATTTTTGGCGAGTTATTTTTGGAATGTCAAGGAAGTAGARGGCCTCCAAAAATAGTCAACTTTAGATATTTTGCTTCAATGACTATGTACAAAAGAACGCACGAGAGGTACCAGGAAAACAATGGATATTGATTTATTCTTTTATTTCCCCGGAGCCCCGTCTGCCATTCTTTTATGCAAAGTCACTGAACCAAAATATCTAAAGCTGCAGGCTATTGCTTAAAAATAATTTAAATGGCAAGAAAGTTGAAACAGCAGTGGGACTGCATTAGTGTATTTTATTTCACTTACTGGTATTTTAAGCTTTATTTTCTAAATTTTTGATAATTAAACAGCTAAATAATTAATATCAATGCATGCTAGCTAAATAAATTCCCTATACAAAAGCTTAGCATGGGTTACCTGTGTTCTTAAAGAATACAAAGTTGCCTAAATCAAAGGAATTATTAATAGTATACTGTATTTTAGCCAGAAGAYGCCACTTGACTTTTTTGTCTTTTTTATCAAATATTTTTGACATCTGTGCAAGAAAAAAAATGAATCTAGGCTGATGTTATCAATTGATAGTTTTCAACCATTTGCTTCCCATGAGATTCAAAAGATAAAAGACCTGCTGCCATCTTGAAGGAAAACAATAGATACTTAATGAGAAATCCTTTGTTGAAGTACAAGATGGCCTCTGTCATGTGACATAGTGAAAACAAATGATAGGTCACTAAATTTCTGTCAACCAGAGGTGAATCCGGTGAAGTGTTGGGTGAATTATTTATCAAACATTTAAACATTTATATGATGAAATTTAATTTAAAAGATAGAATGCTCATAATTGTTGAATGGGACTTGAATAAATTGTTGAGCCCACAAAGCATCAAATCCAGCATAAAAAAAGCTTTTTTTTTTCAATTGATGTTTATTCAACACTAAAATTCCTGAAAAAAGTCATCTTTGAGGATAAATTTAGAATTTCGTAATATATTCAGAAAGAAAATTAATTAGTTCCTTTTTTGAAATTCTTGGATTTTTGTCCGCATGCCAGGCTAAAATCATTGTCGAGCTACGCTGMACAAAATTATTAAAGCTGGCAACATATTAAAAAGACAAAATTTCGATCCTGCAAGTATCTTTATTACATTGTTGAAATGTAGTCTTGAAATATTGCCAGGATACATACATATTAGGGAGGAATTGAAGCAGTATGATAATCTTTGAGACTTTCACTCCAATATATCGAAAATTTCAAAATAATATTCTGCACTCTAAACTTGAGTACAAAAGATCAGAAAGTATAGTTACATTAGATTGCATTTGCAGTTTTACATGTAAGTGGTTTCAAATAAATATCTACTAACGGATGTGAACATAGAAAAAGCATCTTTTGTACAAATTATTTCTTAGGGGCAGTTTACCTGAACTTTCAACCTAAAAAGCTAAAAAGTCCTTATTCGATTGTATATAAAATTATAGGTACTTACGTCTATGTCTCTCCAGTGGCTGTGATAATAAGACATTATTTGTAGGACAATTTTTCGTCAACAAAGTTTCTCTACTCTTGTCGACTGTAGGTGATGGATCGAATCGCACTGTACTGTAACGCCAGTCACGCAAAGTCGAAATTTTCAGATAACACAGGAAGCCCATGCATTTACTTTATGAGCCAAATCGATTCTTTCTTCCGTGTCTTCTATAGATGCTTTGAGGAATCAATCACTATGATTAGCGCCAGGGAAAGTAGCGTAAAACAAAATGATTAGAATTTCCTTTAAACAGCCGAATAAAAATGTAAAATAGTGGGATATAAATGTRACTATTATTTCATAAATAATCAATATTATAATTGATTATAGGATTGATAATGAAAGTCTAATTCATCGTCAAATTTGTTTTGCTTGCTTTGCTTGTAGTTTCTCCATGTGTTTTGAGGTTTCCAAAAACTCTATACCTACCCCTCCCTAGAAACTACAGTTTAGTTCACGTCCCTGGGGAGTTGTCGCTCATCAACTGACTGTCACAAATAGACGACTGTCTTAGTAAAAGCAATCTGGCCCCACTAAGTGTCTCAGACTGCCACCTTTCCTTCTTGATCCCTTCGTTGCCGCTCTGTGCCACCATTTTTTCTTGTTCTTCGGAATTTTCAACACTGAAACAGTCTAGGAAAAGAACTTTTCTGCAAGGTGAGTGAACGAAAGCGACTGTCTGTCCGCTATGGCTGACTGACCTTCTCAAAGGCGCTTGGATTTCMGCCTGTTACTTGTATGAAAACTTCCTATATTATACCCTAGCTTATGCAGGGATTTCCCTTAATATTTTGTGCTCATTCTAGGATTGTTTGGGGGGAAATTAGAAGTAAACAACAAGCCGGAGCCAACGAGATTTGTCTCATAGAGTAATCGGGTCCCTTGCGTGTTGATCATGAATATTTTACATACGTCRCAAAAACGTCTTCAGCTTTGTGTCTGAGTTTCGTTCGAAATAGCTCGAATTCTCAAGTGTATAATTTCATAATTCGCTAGATAATGGCACAGATCATTTATCTTTTCTTATGTATAAAGCTTGCGCCCTTATGAAGCATGATTTCCATTTTCTTCCATATGTTTGACGAGACAGTCACAAGTAAACACGAGTTTCGACAGTTCTCCCTGTGACAGCTGACATMTATTTGTCCTTTGCTTCAAGCTAATGACGTCAGGAGTGTGCATTAACCAATCAAACCTCAGCTTTCCGTCACTATCATTTTGTATGATTGACGGGSAATTTTATTGATCAAGAAAAAATCTTCCTATTGGCTTACGCGGAAATTTATATATATTGAGCAGTGTAGCTCTTCCTTGAGATGTGTCACTGTGTTTGGCTTTGTTAAAAGACTCCTGTTTCAACATTTTCCTGTTTCCCATTATTTCTTTGTGTCTAAAACAAACATTAGTTTCTCTGAAACGATCTTAAAATGGCATCAAAAATTGAAAAAGGCAAAAATATTATTTTGAACTAGTTTGTTTGTATTTATTTTTTCCACTTCTTCTTTTAATTTGCACAATTCTTACTGTAATATTTTTTTTACTTATTAATCATTTTTTAGGGTGATAAAATCATATTTTTTCTCCTATTCAACATCAACAAAGTTTATTGTTAAAGAATTTAATTATCATATAAAATACATGTTAAATAGTGAATAATTACATCACTGTCATGGTAGCACAGGCGTCCCATCCACTTGCTTGTTTACTTTTTCAGAAATATTAACAAGAGGGGAGGGGTGGGGAGATAATTSAAGGCTGTTAGTTTATGATTACAGTAGCTCAGGTTTTGATTCATTAYCAATAGGTTAAATCAAGTTTGCCATTGCCATGGAAACAGTYCACCACAGGGCACCAGTTGTTCACGTTTTAGATGATAATCAAACTGTGCTGAAAAGTGAAGGTGAATTGTACTTTTATTGTGAATTTGTAGTTTTGTTGGTAATTACTATAAGTAGAGATTATAACCTACTGACTGTGCATGCTACAGTCCTGGACTGTGAGTTGAGAATTTTTGAATTTTTGTGTTGAGAAGTATTGTTGTACTTGTCCTGCGATGATCATACTTTCACTTCCCTACCCCTAAACATACAATATTGCATCAATAATGTCTAAGAGCATCCATCAGAGCTACAGTGAAATGGGGGTGGGGGTGGGAGGGGAAGCAGTTTTCTTTAATTTCATGAAGATATCAATGTATGTATTGGAAATAGGAATGCACATGAATTTTGTCAACCACTTTGTSCAGGATTGTAATTCTCTTCATAGTTTGACATGCATTTAAAGGGACACTGTCARTGGATGACATGCGCRAGTAAACTTGAAAACACTAGGCTAGTRTTTTCAAGTTTATGACCCCAAGTTGGCGCGACATAAATCAGATCRTAAACGTAAACAGATCTAGAATATTCCAAAGTGTGTCAAAAGCACCACAAAATGATATACCTCGAAGGTTATACTTTCAAAGTCCGTTAGAGGTGAGACTGTTACTGCGCATGTCATCCATTGACAGTGTCCATTTAACTTCTTGTGTGATTATCTCCATTCTTGGATTTCCTGTGTAATGAATTTGTGAGAATGGTACAACAAGGGTGGAAGCCCATATGAAAGGAAGCCTGATCCTTCGAAGAAGTCAAGGCTACTGTAATTAAGTTCTCATTATATCTACCCCATCAGGCAACACCCCATATTGGAACTTTCACACACTGGGATTCTTGAGGGGAACCTAAGAGTTGAGCATTTGTCATTATGAAACACTCTGAAGTCATGAGAATCGTTTTACTCCAAGTCTAGCTTGATCATTCCTAAAATGTAATGTTCTGTACGTGGTAAATGGCCACTCACTGGTTAATGACTGTACAATATCTCTATTATCATCATCACAAAATTGTTATCATCMTTATTTTTATCATCATCATTGTTATTTCTTTAGAAGAGACTAGGGCAGGTCAGTCTGAGTATTCCTCTCTTGACGCCCGATATGACATGAGTCTAAATGAGAAATTAGAATGTAAGTCCTTCCACTTCTTTCTCTTTGTTCTTTTCTTTTTTATGTATATATTTATCTATCTGGTTTTACTTGCTCATTTATTCATTTAAAATGTACATTAGTTAAATTATTGTTTTAATTATTTTAGATTAATATTGTTTTTTTTTTCAGAAAATATCCATACCCCTACAACAGATCTCATTTCAGAAATTTTGGGTAGGGAGGGGGGTGGGTTGTTTGAGGAGGTTGTATGATCTCGGAATTCCAAGTGAGAGAGGGGAGGGGGGGTTAGATATGACGCAATTGTGCATTTATTTACATAATACCATTAGTGATTTATTTACTAAATATTATTAGTTACTTTCATCTTGAGTGCTGACCAGATGAATGTCCATAGTAATATTTCAGTACTCAAGACAGAACATCCCCCAGTCACTTTGAGACCATTACCAGATTCTTCTTACTTTGTGGTGCCTAAGTGGCACAAAGTGCCTTCACTAAGATGATCTAGTCYCCTCSATTTTTGGCAATCTGTTCAATCTTTTCGTCTTTCCAAAACAGAACATTCCCAAGTCACTTTGAGACCATTACCAGATTGATTGTTTTGGTTGAATTATTAAACTATGCACAAAAGCATGGAAGATGATTCACAGGGGAAACAGATGTTGTTCTTTTCCTTACTTGAGTCTTGATCATCCACAGTTCTTTKGTACGCAACCATTCAGCCAAACTGTTTAAAGTAGGCTATAATTGCTACCACTTTTTTCCCATCCCTCCATRTTTTCCCTCATTCTTTCAAGTTCAATAGTCTCCTTCATGGTTCCCTACGCCATCATGAAAGGTAGCCGTGCCTTTGCATCGAAGCGAGACAACCGTTGAGCGTGCAATGATAGATACCTGTGAATAATTGTCTGTAGGTGTGAAAGAAGGTTTCTCGCTATCATTTCACGGTCGTCTCGTTTCGATGCAAAGGCACGGCTACTTTTTAAGATGAAGCTGGGAACCGTGACTGAGAAGACTATTCTCTCTTCATTTCCACTTGCCACATACCTTACAAATAAAAAAATAGGTGTTACAAGCCGGCAACRTGGTTATGCATATTATTTTTCTATTAGTTACCAAAAACCTCACCCCAAGCAGCCAAAGTAAAAAGGAACTGTATATTAAACTTGATGAAATCCTGATCTCCTCACTTCATGAAGTCTTTGAAGTCTTTCCTGGAGCAACGGTTGACCGAGTTGAAATGGTGGARTTCCTAAGTGATGTTGTTAGAAGAAATCTTTCAGTTTGCCCTGAGCTAGAGAAAATAATGTGCCTTAGAGATACGGTGTTGACTGCCAGAGTAAAGAGAGCATTTCCTGAAGTGGAATATAAGAGGAAACAGATTAGACAAGATCACTTTMGAAAAGCGTATCCTTTGTTAATGTACAATGTGAACTTTTATATTGTATTCCAATATATTGTTATGGTTCACCCATTCACATTTAATCCCATAATTAAGCAAGCTTATAAGATAAACACTAAGCGTGCAACTTCTAATGCTATTAAGCACCTCTTCATGAAAAGCAAACACAGTCGTTTAAAGGAGAATGAGAATCATATTTTGGAAGGCACCAAAGCCAGTGTCTAAACGCCGAAGTTGATTCGCCGAATTTCTTTTTAGAATCAACAATGCGTGTTTTGGAATCTTGTCACAATTCTCAAATTTTTTGTTCCCTTTGACTTCCTTTGCAGCCTGCTCTACACACATCTCAGTCTAATTATGTATTCCCGTGAATTGAAGTTTGAATTGCCATTCATCGGCATTACACATAMTTTTCCTTAACTATCGGGTAGCTGGTTATACGTCAATATCAGAAAGAAAGCCAATCTGCAGGAAGCCAATGACATGAAAACGGGAAATGCCAATACAGCAGTAAGACTTGAAGGTAGGGCTATGTATACTGTCTCATATTAAGGATATTACATGAGCGCGCGGAGATACGGGTTATATCTAGAATAAATCTCAATTTTTCCATTGATATCTCACGAGTGAGCAAAGCGAATTATATATAAACTCAAATTTAAATACTGTCTGATGAGTGCGTAGCACGAAACTCGGAGTTACAGCAAAATCTTGCCTCTTTGATATCATATATATATAACTAGCTCTACACTTTATGTGTATTGAGCACTCTTTAATGGGATCAGCTACTTCCTCATACGACTAAACTCAAATTTATATATTCTATAAGGCAAGAAATAGGGCAATTTTGTACGGAATATCTATGGTAAGGGACGGTCCATTTAACTTTTGAGGGGGGTGGGGGAATGATTTTGAAAAAAAAATCCTGCAAGCCATCTTCACCAAAAATAAAAATCGTGCACAACATACGGACCTGAAAAAAAAAATATTGCACCACCCTAAGCCAAAAAAATGTTACATGCAAGAAAAAATAATAATTCCTACACACCACCAAGAGCAAAAACATATATCCTACCCAAAAGCCACGAAGAGAAAAAAAATCTTGCTCACAAGAAATCATCAAAAAGTTAAATGGACCATCCCTAACGTGTTATTTTCACATGTAGAAGATCATCACTTTTCGCGCTAGAGATTTCCTGGTATTTCATTGAGTTCCTCAGTCAGATTCTCCACAACTCATCAATGGGTTTGGCTTTGCGCTTTGTCTGTGATATGTATTATCAATTCTCGCCTATGTCTGGAGTTAATCTTGTTAAATTCCCTTTCTTCTTTACCATTTTYCATCGGCCCTCAGCTAGGAACACAATAAGGACCAAGTTTCCTACAAAAAAAGTCGACTTGCGAGTTTTACCTCAGTAGTCACACACAAGGGAATTGACAAAGTGACATACATAAAGCTCGGTCATTCCGCCTTGGCGCCGGAACCTCGTCTTGATTCATTTGTCTTTGAAAACTCAAGTTGGCTTCTGATTTTTTTGCCTAAAGACCAACAGTTCAACRGACCAAACCAAAGTGGGTTTGGATTTGGAATTGTCACATAAAATTGAAAGGATATGACCTTAATGTCYATTGAATGATATAACTATTATTTCTTCTGTCCAGGTAATGCCAGCACGCAGATAAATAATAGCAGCGTGTCAACATCAGGGACCTGGACACCAGAAGCCCCTAAACCCTCCACCACCAGGAGTTTGACCAAAAAGCAGTCACCGCTCAACACACAACTACCATCCACAATAGAGCACCATCCAGAACCACCGACCAATATTACCAGACGTCACTCGTCAGAAAGCAAACGACTCCCTCAAGATATCAATAACTACAGAAAACTAGCGCCGATACCACAAGGCGGGCCTGTATCTATGGTAACCGGATTCAGTGCACATGAGAATTCAGCTGTTGTGCTGGATAATTACACGATCATCAAATGGTGAGATAGAAGTCGGCTTACAATTTGGTGTCAAACAATAAATGGATGACTACATGTACGCCCTTTTCAAATTACAAAGATCTTTCCAAAAGTGAAAAACAAAAAACAAAAAGCGCAAAGGTCCAGTAATGCAGTACCGATTGAAACCTGCTTTTTGATTGCTCCTTAAGTACAGCACCACTATTGTTAGGTTAGGTTTTGTTATATTGTTGGAAGACTTATCTATTGTTTGTCCATTGTTTTATCAACCTATCATGAGACCCGTTCCGAGCGGTGCTACCTGGCTC